GTCTTCAGCGGCAATTCAGCAGCGGGTCTTTCACTCCCTCTCTTCCTCTTTGGCGGCACTACGGCAGCAGCTCAATCGTTTTTTGTTTGTTTGTTTGTTTTTCTTCGCTGCTTGGGGTGGCAAAAAAGCTGAAGCCAGCCTTGGCCTCACAGATATCCAGACAGGAATGAATGCTTCTCTAGACCTTGTTAACTGAAACTTGGGTCCCCTGCAGCTCCCCAGGCTTGGCTAGTCTGAAAGTCCAATCTCCTGCATCTTCTGTGCCCCCTCCCCCTACACATGCAGCATCCAAACGAAACTCCACAAGGAGTTTCCTGAGTCCCCTGTCTCCTTCCTGCAGAAGAGTACAATGTGGCTCTGAAGGAGACAGAGTGAAAATGAAGAGATTAGACTCCTTTAGGCTATAAAGTAACTGTCTGGGAAGTAGAGACAATTAGTTGTGACAAGTCAGCCAGCACAAAAAAAAAAAAAAAGCTATTTTAAAGTCTTGTGGGATCATGTAATCTGATTGGTGAAGAGGCTTTATATTCTTATATATGCATTCATTAGGAAATGATGATGGTCACTTTTTTTTAAAGTCTATTTCCTTAGATGACTAAATAATGTTTGCACAGTAACATAGTTCTTCCTACATAGAATAAAGACGTTAAGGTTACACCTGTATTTGCAGTATTACCTAATCTATCTAAGACAAAATGGAAAGTTTTTAATAGCGCCCGCTGTATATGGATTCAAAGCCTCTTTAATGGCAATCAGATTGTAACTTTCATACAAGACAGTTTAGAAAAAGATTTAAATACATAGCTAAGAATTACTGTACCCTAGTGAAATTATATTTGTTCAAGCCTTGACCATTTTAGGCCAGATTCTGCCATACTCATCAATCTTGAGTAGTACCCTACTTCATAAGTAGCCTGTCAGCATAGGTCAGGGGATCACAGTTGGGCCTTTGATAAGCAAAAGCAACACTTTGTATCTTTTGTGAAATTCATTTACTTTTATTGTACATTTTATTTCCTATGCAAAACATATTTGATAATATACAGGAAGTAGTTAGGGTTACTATCTTGACTGACCAGTAGGGAACATATTTTCCTGGAAGAAAATTAGCGCATAAACTGTGCTATGTAGGATCTTTTTAAGTAGCAATGGTTCTCTAGCTTCTAGTGTAGTATTTCTACACTTGAACTCTGATGGATGTAAGATGCAGTATGTATTACCACGCAGAATTTGAGGAAAAAATATAAGCAATAGAAGAAAATTATGCATTATTTCACACTTGCAACTCTATTACTTGATGTCAGGTTATCTGTACATAGTCCAGTAATCTGCTTCTCAAACTGTCCTTAAATAGTGCATCCAATGTAAACTATTCTAAAAAAAAAAAAAAAAAACACTCCAACAACAACCAACCTCTTCCCCCCCTCCAAAAAAACCCCACACACCTGTGAAAGATTAAAGGCTAATGGGGGCTAGTAGAGGGAACCCAATTCTTTAAAAAATGCCACCTCTGAATAGTTGCTACAAAGGAAATGTTATGCAGGTCTAATTTTAAGATCAATATGATCTAAATTTATCCTTGTAATTTTATCTAATGTGAAATTTAAGTTTCTTAAATAAGTTCTCTGTCTTGCTTACACACTGACTCAGCTTGTTCCTACATAAAAAGCCAAGTACAACCATTTTCTTTTAAAATATAGGCCATTATAACAATTAGTTACCAGACTGCAAAGGAACTTGAAGGTTCCACAGTCTGAACAGAGCTGGAACAATACTTAATTTGAACATTTTATTAATATTTTGGTTGGTCTTGCCAGCAAGGTAAGGATGAAATGTTAATTTACAGAACAAGTGGGAGTAGGGTTGCCAATCCTCCAGGATTGTGGTGGAGTCTCCAGGAATTAAAGATTAATGTTTAATTAAAGATTATGTCATGTGATGAAACCCCCAGGAATATGTCCAACCAAAATTGGCAGCCCTAAAGGGGAGAAGGGATTTCTGTGATTTTTCTTTTTAATGTCTTCTAGGATAAATCAGACAATTTATTCCTTAAACTTAAAATACATATTTCTTGCATGTTAACAGTTCAGAGCAATCTGCATTCAACTTGATGATCAGTGCTTCCTTTCCCCTTCTAAGAGGGTGCAGTGTCTATAAAATTTCATTCCACTGCTTTGAAAGTTCCAGCCTTAGTCTGATGTGATGTCACCATATGTCAGGGAGCTAGTTCCTTCAGCTTGCTGCACTCAATTTGTTCTTGACAACAAAGAAATTTGATTTTTATAATGAGGCGTAAATCATAGGAAAGGGTTGCCTATAATGGATTTCAGCAAAGTCAGGAGCAAGAGTGCAGTAGTTTACATCAACGCTAGCTTATAATAGAGAGCTTCAGAGTAAAGGATACACACTCAATGGAGGGGGAATTCAGAGAAGCACTGCATTGTTGGATATCATTTATACAACTAGGATGTATGAAAGCTCCCATTGCTCTCATCCTAGCCCACTGTAGTGTCACTGAGGCATGAGGGTATGGCATACAGAAATGCTGCTCAGCCCAGAGTCTGGACAAAAAGGGAACGATGAGGTAAAGTGCAGGATGCCTGAAACAGCTGCTGTATGTCTCAGTGTTCAGTACACTGAGCTGCGTATTGGTTCAATTTAGTTATTCCTTTAAATGAATTTGATTGAATGGGAGGGGGAATGAATTATAAAAAATGCTTGGAAAAGCTATAAATACAGCTGATAGAACCTACCATCACAAACAGGAAAAGTCTATAAAAATATATTGGGATGTTTACACATCACTTTCCCTGTGGTGGATTAGCAGGCAGAAGGAAATCTTAAAACCACAGGGGAAAGGTTTAAATGGGATGAAGCACAGATTAGTGAATGATTAACAGTAATTTCACAAAGGTGGAGGGTAAGCTGCTCATTGTGCAGAATCTCACAAATGTGTTTTGAACGATTAACTAAATTTACTTGGCAAAAGTTTAATTAGGAATGCCACTAATTAACTGCAGTTATGTATACCCTGATGCCAGGGAAGCATAGTGTTAACTAGTTGCAAGAAATTCAATTCTTCTTTAGTACACTTGAGGCTATACTTTGAGACTCAGCCCCATAGTGGGGATGGGAGTTGGAAAGACAACATCCAAGCAGGAGCTCCTGGAGGCATTGTGGCAGGTACAATTCCTTTTGAGGGCTCTGGAGGTGTGCATGCCAAAGCTGCCTCTGCTGCAGTTTTCTACAGGGGCAACATGCTTCATTCACATGTGGGACCAGCTCTGCTAGCCAGTTTGGCAGTGGGTACGGCCATGGCCCCGCCTGCTTTGGTGAGGCTAGAGATTCTGCTCTCCTCAGATGTGAACGTGTATAGCACCCCATGTGGACTGGGTTGTGTCTGGCCCCTGCACATGAACTCAAGACAGGGAATGCTCCTTTTACCTTACCCGTTTTAGCTCCTACCCCAGCCTGCTGCTCTTGTGCATCCAGACAGGCCTAGATGTAATCGGTCAGTGGCTGGTCGCACTAATGTTTTCATGTGCTGTCTGCTTCTTTAGAATTCTCTGTCCAACACGAGTAACACAAGTATGATACCAGTCAAGCACATTCATGCAAACTGCTGACACAAGTAGTTTAATAACACTCTTTAAAAGAGAAAATGGTCATGTGATAATTTATACATAGAGCTGGTAGGAAAATAAGCAGTTTCCACACAATTCCTCATTAGAAGTATTTTGTGGATTTTTTTTTAATGAAAAAATTATCAGAAAATTTTTGTTTAGAAGACGAAATCTATGTCAAAATAAAAATGCCGGCCAGCTTTACATATAATGCTGTGTATAGTTTCAGAACCAAACTATGGTCCTCTGTATGCTGTGCATCAGTGGTAAGGTCAGAGTGATATGGTATACAAATCCCACACCATCATGGAAGGGATTAAGGCTAAGGCTGTTTTGGGCTAGAGTAGCCCTGCGCTTCCTGCAAATCATGTTGGCTCTGGAGGAGTTAAAAGATGGGAACGCCACTCAGATGGGGGCAATCCTAGAATGGGAATGGTCTGTTGAGTCCCCCAGTTTCCAGAGAGGTCTGTTCGCTAACAGAACCTCCGCCCTCACATAAAGGAGAATACAGATACCCTGGACTAAGAAGGGAAAAGAGACTGAGTCTTACACTGGAGACCCAGTGAACCCTCAGGTGTACTGTGATACTTCCAAGCCCTTCTGAAGGAAGAGAGGCCACCTGCAGGCTTGCTGTCTTTTCCTTTATGCTTCTTATTTAACCGTTTGCTGACCCTGGACTGCTTTGTTGGGATTCTGAGAGGGAAAGGAACAGCCAGATTGCTTCAGCTGGAGGACTGAGCACCAGCCCTGCTAGATTGACACACCCCTCAGCAGGGGCAATTGGATCTGCCTGCTTACACTCCCATGTAGCTCCTGGAGGAGGCGCTCTGCCAAGGAGAGATTGATGACAGTTACACTCTGGCAAAATGCAAAGGGTCAAAACTCAGAAGCCATGAATTATTTTTGCTTAGGTCATTCTGCTTAGACATATGGCAGTTTTTGCCTACCCTGTAGCTCTCTGGATATTCATAAACTGCTATTAGTGCTTCCAACAGTGCTTTAAGCTAAGCACCTGTGAGTTGAAATATGTTTGCTTCAACATGTATTTACTTAAATGATTGAGTTGCATCTGAAGCATTATAAGGGGAGCTGGTAGAAACCCATGTATTTAGATTGGCTAACTATTATAAAAGATCCTTTAAACCTCTCTTGAAAAGCTTTTACACTTCCATTGTTTGTATCAGGCCCTTGACATTTGGCAATGGGAAAAGCTCTGATGCTAGAGAGGTGTCTCTTTATTTCATGAAATTCCATTCAGGTTTTGCTTAGATGTAAATTACCATTCCCCCTTTTCCCCCTCTTTGCGTGCCTCACAAAAAAACATGGCAGTTTGCCAAAATAACTGAACATGAGCATCCTAAAGAGCTGAGCCCATTATGCTACCAGAGCAGCAGCAAAGACAACACTGAGAATCACAGGAAGAGACATCCCGTCTGAGAGGTTGGGAGAGAGAAGTGGCCCCCCCAGCAATTCTTCCCCTGCCTGGACCAGCACAGCCCCCACAGCTGGGTAAGGAGTTTTCCTTACCTTTGGAGGGGGCAGGCGTGAGAGAGAGAGCCAGACTGGTCACCCTCAGCACACGGCTCTAGTAGTGCTTGTATCATATGCATATTCACAAGGGGGTTGATTTAAGGTTGTGTGGACAATCTGAACTCTGGCATTTCCTAACAGCCAAGTGCTTGCTTGACTTTGCAATCTTAATATCTTTTAACATATTTTTGTATACAGTTTTAACTTAGACTACACAGGATAGTTAAATCAATCACAGTCATGTAACTGCCAGTTTTTGTGCAGCTGCATGTGTGACTTTTCTTACCAGTGAGAATAAGTCATCATTTCCCCCTTAGGTTCTCTTCACTCAACACCTACCCCCAACTGCACCTTTAGGAGCAGGTGGGGTGGGGGAGAAGAAGGCAGGATCCTATTCTTTGGCATCCTCAAACAGATGTGTGATGGCAGGGACCTGGGGGGTGGGACAGAAAGATGGAGAGAGCCAGAGGCAGTCTGTGGGAATGGGGGAGTTGATGGGAGGAAAACTGCTGGTGGAGTGAATGAGGGTAGGTAGTCAGGGGGGCATTATGCTGAAGGGGGCAGAGACTATTCAGGACCTGGCCAAGAGGGCTCGAGTCATAAAAAGGACTAGACGAACGCAGAATTGGGCGCAGTGAGATGAAGGGGGAGGGAGACAGGTTGGTGTAGCTCCTCATCTTGCTACAAGGGGGTGCTAACATATAAAAGCCTCCTTATTCCAATGAGTGTCGTGTGAGATGCAGGATACTTGGCAGCCATGATTCCTTATATCCTCAAATCCCACACGCGGCCTTACCACGCTGCTAATTTTTAAGCAGCCTGCCCTATGCCTTCAGTGAGCAACTTATTTCAGTGCTTCCTTGTCAAAACTGATCATTTGGTACAAAACTCAGATGTATCAACTTCAAACTGATATTTGTCTATTCAGCTTATGGTGCACACATATGACCTGTGATTTGTGCCTTTCCAGGTATCCCAGCAACCATCAATTCAATCAGAATCCCCTAATATCAGTGTTAAAAATTAAACTTCGTACCCTTATACTTTATTTCTTTGCAAATATAAATTATTTTAAAATGTAAATAATGCGTTTTTTTTTGTTCAAACTGTACAGTAAAGATACTGTAAATCATATAATTGTGATTCCTTTAAGTGAAGCTCTTCTAGAGTCAATAAGCCCTATTTTCAAATGTGGGTACTTAAAGTAAGGTGGCCAACCCTGAGATTTGGCAGTCCATGGCTAGTATTCTATTTAGGTTCTTGTACTGTGCTCCACACCATTATATTGGAGTGCCTTTCAGACTTAAAAATAAGCATAATGACTAACACCTGTCAAGCAGAGTTCCTCTCCACTCCTTGGGGAAGAGGTTGCATGTTCTCTTTGAGTAGCTGAGCTGCTCAGTTGTTGTTTGGAAGGCAACTTTGAAGAAGTATGTTCTGTATTTGGAGTAGGAAAATGGTGTGGTTTGAAGCAGTTTGTAATTCCTGTGGGAGTGAGCCCCACAGTCTTGGGACAGTCCTCCAGGAAGCTTTATCTCTGGCATGAACTGATGAGCTTCACCCTTGCAGTAGACAATTCGGTTGTGTCTGAAGCTATGTTTATACTACCACTTATGTCACTCAGGGATGTGAATAAGCCACCCCCGAGCAACATAAGAGACACCGACCTAAGCACCAGTGTGAATAGCACTATGTCAGTGGGAGAGCTTCTCATACCACGATAGCTACCGCTGCTCATTGAGGGTGGATTAATTAAGCTCTCTCCCATCAGCGTAGAGCGGCTACTCTAGACAGCTTACAGCAACACAGCTTCATTGGTTCAGCTGTGCCACTATAAACTCTCTAGTATAGCCATAGCCTGAGGAGCAGAATTGTCAAGGTCTCAGAGTGATTTTAAATGAGCATAAATTGCATTGCTGTAATCCAGTTGGGTGGTGACAAAGACATGTATTACTGAGGCTAGGCCATCACCAGCAAAGATGAGACAATCTTCTAGCTAGCTACAGGTGGCAGAACTAGCAGATGCTGTTATGTGGGAGCTTTGTGTCACTAAGGAGTCCTGAGGAATTTCTAGTCTGGTGGAGTGGTCTGATGATTTGTGGGTACATGGCATAGACTGGTGAAGGTTGCATGGTGGCTGAAAACCCTTCAAAGGATCTTTCTCTGCATATAACTCCATGTTGTTAGGATTTAACTTTAACCAACTGTTCCTCAGCCATACGGTGACCTCAGTGACACACTGGGCTGGCTGGCTTTTTTGCGGTGTTGCAGGTTACATTTGATAACTGGCTCCTATAGCATTTTTACACAGATGTTGGGAAATGCCAGTGTAAACAACACTTTATATCAGCCAAAAATATATACTTCTTCACCTGCAACAGTTACCTGTGCCTGATCTCATACGCATAGAAGTCAATGGGAGAGGAATCATTCTGTTGACATCTGTTAATATTGGATCAGTCCCCTTATCCTTAGTGGTAGAACCACAGGCAAGATACACATCTGACAAACCATGAAGAAATCCAAGGGAAAATCCAGGCTTCACTCACAGACATAAGAAAGATCAGAAATGAGCCCTAAATGTGACTAAACAGGTTAATGGAGAAAATACACCAAGTGAACGTAATCTGCAACATGAAAGCTGAATTAAAGTCGTAAGACAAAGGTGATAGGACATTTAAGGTACAATTAAAAGATTGCCTTCAGTTATATTTGTCAGTGTCTATTCCTGCATAAAAGTGGCTTACAATTAATGGAAGATTAAAATTGAGTTAAACCTTGACACTGTGCATTGCCAATTTTCTGTAAACAAAGTAATTAGTTTGGCTTAGTTCTATATTCTGAGCAACCTTTATGAAGCTCTGTTTTCACAAAAGTCACCATCCGTCTTTTAAATTCAGCAGTTTTATTTGGCCTGGCTTTCTCAGACATTTTATTTTTTTTACAGAGATTAAAAAAATATACTGTGGAAGAAAATTATCTAAGCTTTGAAAATATGAAATGATGTCTGCAGCAATGCTCCGGAATGTAGTAATTCACTCTGCCAGCTCTAAAGCACAGATGGGAGAGTATAGAAAGAGGATTAAACTGCTTTCCATATCCTAAACTTTATCAGGGATAACACAGAAAACTGTGTCATTCATTACTCCCTGGGGAGTTCTTAAGTGTTAACAATTTATCTCGTTTATACATTATAAAAGCTAGAAAGTGTATTTTTTCCATTAGCAATAACAGACTGCAACTGAAATGAAAGTCATAAGTTGCATTGCAAGAGTTTTACTTGTACAATTCCAAACAAAGAGGAAAAACAGACTTTCCCACCTGACAATATGACTTCCAATAAATTTAGCAGCATGGACCCAAAAGGTGTTGGAAGATAAATTTTAGGGAACGTTTTCATTTACACAATACTGTAACAGTATATTTAATGTATGCCTTAGAACCTTTGTTTATCAGTGTTGGTTTTTGATGCACAAAAAATAAAGAACAACAATAAGACATTTGTAGCATATCCTATCATCCTTGGTTTGTGTGCATATAGCTTGCTTAACATTACAGGTAATTTCACAGATGTGATTTTTAAGGTGTGATCCAAAACCCATTTGAATCAAAGGGAAGACTCCTGTTGATTTCAGTGGGCTTTGGGTCAGGTCAATAGAGAGATCTAGAAACCAAAACTACTGGGGGGAAAGAAAGTACAGCCAAAGTCTCCTTTGAATTACTTGTTCCACCTTCATCTTTGTCTTAACTCAGGGGTAGGCAACCTATGGCACGCGTGCCGAAGGCGGCACGCGAGCTGATTTTCAGTGGCACTCACACCGGGTCCTGGCCACCAGTCAGGGGGGGCTCTGCATTTTAATTTAATTTTAAAAGAAGCTTCTTAAACATTTTAAAATCTTATTTACTTTACATACAACAATAGTTTAGTTATATATTAGAGATTTATAGAAAGAGACCTTCTAAAAACGTTAAAATGTATTACTGGCACGCGAAACCTTAAATTAAAGTGAATGTATGAAGACTCGGCACACCACTTCTGAAAGGTTGCTGACCCCTGTCCTAACTTGTATATTTTAATATTTTTCTAGATGATTTTATCTAATCTCTATGTTTAGGTTTTGAAGTTTTTCAACCTCACTAATTTTGCTTCGAGTCTTTAGTTTGTATTAATCCATAATGGTAACGCAAAACTCAGACAATGCTGTCAAGTTTAGTCTGATTTATAATGAAACTGGTGAGCTGAGGCAGTTCTGTCTATGATATGAAAATGTTTTGTTCATTTTGCAATGAAACCCAGAAATACCACATGGAATTTAATAAGGAAAAATACTAAAAGTTCCATAGGAATGAAATAGGGTTCTATAGATATTACTCTAAAAATGGGCATGGTTTAATGGAAAAGTTGCTCCTTTTTATAATTTTTTTTTAAACCACGCTATAGCATTTAATAGAGAAGTATAGCTTTGCTGTTGAATTCGATAAACTGGCTTAAAAATACTATGGAAGTTATTCTCAGTCAAATTCTGTAGGACTTTTACATACAGATGATACATGCTAGCTTTGGGAACATTTTATACTGTAGCCAGGCAGCAAATAGACTTTGTTGGTTTTTGCCTCATTTCAGGTTCCATTGCGAATGATTGGTGCCAGATCTGCTTCTCACGCCTAACTCCTGTCCTGTTCACCTTTGCCATGTCCAGGTTCTAGAGACAGTTGAATCCAGCCCTCCCTCAATTTGTAGGATTATACAAAAATAATGTATAGGAAAACTTCTGCAGATTAGGCATATAAAATTGGATATTTGCCATAATACATGGAAAAATATTTTTGGGTACTTCTATTGTGTTGTTTTTTTTACCTGAGGATCTCTATCGGCCCTTTACAATTAACTAAGTCTCAAGACACTGTATGTGAGGTGATTCTGTACCCATTATACATATGATTAAGGTGGGGATTCGGCCCTAATTTTTAAGTGTCCA